TGAGTCCGCTGTATTCTTGGGAATCACAGTAGATTCAAAGCTCCAATGAAGTCCCCATCTATTATCTCTTGCGCATAGGTTAAGCTCCGCTGTTTTTGCAATTAGGAAGGTTAGGCAGCTATCAGACATCGACACTGCCAGACTTGTTTACTACAGTTATTTTCACAGCATCTTGTCGTACGGCATTTTGTTGTGGGGTAGTGCATCTGATATAAATTCAATATTTATTCTTCAAAAATGAGCACTCCGAGCAATTTATAACATCGGAACCCGGAATACACTCAGAGATCTTTTTAAAGAGATTAATATACTCACTGTTGCGTCTAAATATATTTATTGTAATATTTTGTATGTTAAACATAATATTAAAAATTATCTAAAGAATAGTGACAGACATAAACTAAATACTAGAAATAAAGACAAACTAACTACGCCATTGTTTCGTCTACAAAAAGTAAACAGGTCCTTCATGGGGCAAAGTGTGCGCATGTACAATAAAATCCCACAGTCGATATTAAAAGTCTGCCACTTGATGAATTTAAACGAAAAATTAAAAGTAAACTTTTGGCTGAAGCCTATTATACTATTGCCGAATACCATTTTGTTGTTATTAAAACACAACAGACAATAAATTATCTCAGTGTGGTATTGATTTTTATGAATATAAATTTATTTCATCAATATTGATTTTAATATACAAATTATTACATTTATTATTAGTGTTTATACAAAAGTTTCCTATACTACTTTGATTTTTAAATTGGAATTTGAAGTGGCAATAAAACAAAATGATGTTAATAAGAATGAAGATGCTCATAAATGAAATCAACTTGCGAACGTCCGTGATGGCAAATCACGTTAGTGATGAAAAATCACGTGGGCGACGACAAATCACGTACGTGGTTGTAATAAATTACTTGTGTTTATTTTTATATTTTAATAAGAATGGGTTTACGCGGTGACGTGCAATTATTGGAGACACCTATACTATTTTCCTTTACGTAAATATCTATACTTGAATACTCACAATTAACTTAAAACACGGTTGAACTATACACAACAATGGTTAATGATTGTCTCATGCATAATTATTCAAAGTTCGTAATAAATTATCTAATAATAACATTTTAATACTACAGGAAAAGATAAATGAACAAAATGATTGTGGAATATTAATCACTCATTACAACGCCAGTACCAATAAATTTAAATTCTAAGCTACCTTAGAAAATTTACGCACACAAGAATATAAATTTGTTCGTGTTATTTATGAAGAGTAGCAAGTAATTATAGGAGACATCTAGCCTGCAAAAATAGTGACTTCAGCAGGCGACAATTACACTAATTATTAAAATAATATATAACAGAATTGAAAAGAAAAACAAGATAATAAACGGGAAAGCTAGGAGCAAAAAATATATTGAATAAAATCTGATTACAACTATCTAAGCCCTTTTATATGTCAGAAAGTGGCAAAAAAGCTAGCGGACAACCAAGCACACCTGATGTTGTCATAACCGCCGCCCATGGATATTTGCAACACCCGTAGGGTTGCAAATGCGTTGCCACCTTTAAATAAAGTGGGCCCCGGGTACCTCACTCACCAGACGAGACGCAGAAGTGTAACACTTCTACTTAACTCCGGTCTTCTGTGAGGTCGTGGTACTTACCCAGACGGACCTGCCCATTCGTGCGACAGTGAACAATGTTGCGTGGCCCTACCACAGCAAAAATACCTTCAGAATGAACCTTTAGCCTTTAAAATGAATACGTTCTTAGCGGTGGAAAAATTAACGCCAGCAATTTCTTTTGTCAATATTACTTGATACATAAAATTTATTTTGTAAATGCTGAGGTATGTTAATGCACTTCTCTGTCTGCCAAATTTATATAAGAAAATAATTGAAGGACGATGAAATAACACAAGAGCATTCCACGAGAAGCGGAAAAACATTTGGGTAAAAATTTGCATTTGATATACATACCTACCTATTAATGTATTCACTGTGATAGAGCCACGCAGCAGCCTCGGTTTTTGCACGAATGGGCAGGCTCCTTCGGGTAAGTACCACGACCTCACAGAAAACCGGCGTAAAGTAGCATAATACTTTCGCGTTTCATCTGGTGAGTGAGAAGGCCGGAGCCCAATTTTCAAAATGTTGTCAACGCATCTGCAACTCTCGGTTACAGCAAATGTCCATGGGCGGCGGTATTCACTTAACATCAGGTGAATCGTCTGCTCGTTTAGCAACGTATCACATAAAAAAAATGTTATTGATCAGAATACAAAATATTTGTACAGTATTAAATTCTATTAAAAAATTAGAGAGCTTTAAATATTTGATAACCGGCGGGCTTAGGTCCACTTAAGTCACTACGACATATTTTTTAACAAATAAACATTTTAACTCTCCCGTCACCGTGTATATGTAATACATCTACTGTACTACATACTACATATCTATCATACTGTACTACATACTACATATCTATCATACTCGAGAACATCATGTATATTGGTAATAACATACATCTTTTTACATAAAAAGCTCTTTAACTTTATTGTAACTTAACCAGAATATTGTAGTGGGTACTACAACTACAACTGCAATAACCTGCCTCTTGCACCAGGGTATTCGATCTCCAGTACTGGAAAAATACTGTGTGATGAACATAGTGTTTTTCCAGTGTCCGGGCGTATATATATTTATACTAGCTGATCCGGCAGACGTTCTTTTGCCATATAAATTATTTGTAGGAGAGAAAAAAAAATATTAAAAAAATATACAAATAAAATTTTATCAAAATCAGTCAAGCCGTTTCGGAGAAGTATAAACACTAAAACTGTGACAAGATTTTTATATATAAAATATATTTATTTACAAAAAAGTATGTTAAACATGTTCAACAGTTATTCATACCCATTGTACAAGCGTTGCTTAGTTTAGGACTAAGGACGTTGTGGATATTTTACAAACTGTCTAAATTTAAGTGCAATTTTATTGAATGTTGTTTCTTTTATTTTCTATCTCTTAAATCTTTTCTTTTAAATATAATGTACCTGGAGGACCGAGCTTTGCTCAGTTTTTTTTTTGGTAAATCATGTATTTTGGAAATAAGAAAAATAAAAAATAAAGAAAATTTTCTGGTATAAAAGAAAAAAGTAAAAAAAATAAGTGTACAAATGATCGCAATACGAACCGCGGCCATTGGTTTTGGGGCCGCCCGATTACCGACTGAGCTATTATAACACTTTATTTTGCGGCGAAATTTACTGTCATATTCGAATGATATTTTTCATTCCCTGAAAACATGGATAAAAGGACATTTCATAAAAAGAAACCTAGCTAGAACGAATTTTCGCCCCGAATCTACGCACATCCTAAATTTCATGAAAATCGCTGGAACCGTTTCCGAGATTCCGATTATGTATATAATTATATTTATTTATATTATTCCGATTATATATTATATAATTGAATTACTAATAAAGAAACAAAACCGACATGAAATATCTCACTATGCATTTTCCAACAGATGTGAAGAATTTTTTTTTTTTTTGTGGAAAAAAGAGGCAACGAAAGGGCACCTGATGGTAAGTGATCACCGCCGTCCATAAAAATCCGCAACACCGGAGGGCTTGTAAATGCGTTGCCAGCCTTTTAGGAGTAGCCTCTTCTTGAAGGTTCCCAGGGCTTACCGGTTTGGAAGCATCTAGCGGCAACTGGTTCCACAGAGTGGATGTACAGATGGATATGTCAACACCATTGAGATTAATACGGGACCACATTGGAGCTAAACCGAACTCAGTGCAAAAAGCATTTATCTTAAATCCGTACACAAGAGGTCTGAGGTAACAAATGTGAAACCGAATTGAGAACTCCTTTTTGAAGTTCGCTGAAAATTAAGTTATAATAACAAGTCATAAATGTGTAAGTTACGAAGAGTATTACTTTAGCATACCCTGAATAAACTCACCTAAAATAACTTGATTAGCGAGTTTCCCTGAGTGTAGGATAGATAGAACTGACTTTTGACAAAAATTTGTGCCAGTTAAAATCGAGTAAACGCTTTCGAAATGTTTCACAGATAATAAATCAACAAGTCTAGGATATAAACTTTAAAAAAATTTGATGCGCGGGGACATCACGGACTAAAGTTTCAACATTAAATAAGTTAATAAATAATAAATTAATGTTTTATATGATACCAATATTATTTGTTTCCTCGACAAACATTCGTACTTGTTATAAAAAAATGTGGAAAATTAATTCTAAGTTGTTGTCGTCGTTGATGTTTTATAGAAACACTGTCGACCTCTCGATTAGCAAAACTATATATAATGGAAACGGCGTATTTTGTCGAATTAAGGACAAGGATGTGTAGAAATGACTCTTGCTCTGCACCTGTGCCCTGGTAGCTGCTGATTTGTTGAAGTTGTCAAGGGAACTGGCGGTTCACCTGATGTTAACGAATAATCGCCGCACATTTGCAACACGCGTCAGATTGTAGATGCGTTGCCACTTCTCAATAAAATGGATACCTCCTACCTTCACGCTGGTTTTGTATGAGGTCGTGGTACTTAACCGGACAAACCTGCCCATTTCTGCAACAGCTGAATCTGTTGCGCGAACCTACCCACAGTTAAAATCGCAATTCATGTGTGAGTCTCTTTCCATCTTTGATTTGTAACTAGCGACCCGCCCGGGCTTCGCACGTGTGCAATCTTTTATACATATAAACCTTCCTCTTGAATCACTCGATCTAGTAATAAAAAACCGCATCAAGATCCGTTGAGTAGTTTTAAAGATCTAAGCATACATAGGGACAGACAGACAGCGGGACTAAACAGTTTTAAAACCAAACGTCGTCTACAGGATGAAAGGGAGATCGAAGAAAAGATGGATGGACTTTTTGAAATACGATATGTTTTTATTTTAAGTTTACTTTCCATGATTGTGAATAGAATAAATTGAAATTATACACCGCACCTAATTGAAATGAGAAAAACACCGGCCAAGAGCGAGTCGGACTCAAGCACGAAGGTAGCGTACCTGCCTATTGCGCCAGAGTGTGGGTTCGATCCCCGCTACTGGTAAAATATTGTTTCCTAGTGTCTGTTCCTTCTATGTGATGAACATAGTGTTTACTAGTGTCTGGGTGTTTATATAATTATGTATTTATTTACAAAAGAAAAGTATGCTTATCAGTTATCTAGTAACCAAGTTGTTTAGTTTGGGACAAGAGAACGTTGTGTAAAAACCCGAGTGTCCGATCTTTATTAAATCTTTATTATTATATTTAAAAAAAAAAACAATCAAAATCGATAAAACAAATCATGTCTGTTGGGTGGGAGCCCCACTGAAATATTTTTTTATTCTGTTTTTTAGTATTATAGGTATTATTTGTTTATAGTTATTTGTAGTTATGGCGGCAACAGAAATACAACAACTGTGAAAATTTCAACTGTCTAACTATCAAGGTTCATTAGTTACAGCCTCCTGACAGACGGACAGACTGACGGACAGACAGCGGAGTCTTAGTAATAGGATTTTTACCATTTTTCCCTTTGGGTACGGAACCCTAAAAATAGAAGGCAATTAAATAGTACTATGATGATTAATAAAGCGTGTCGAGTTCACAAAAGTTAATATTTTTTGATGCTTCATGCAGTCCATACTACTAAAGGGGACATGTCATAAAAATAAACACGAATAAAACACGAACATTGGGTATAGTCAGTAAGGACACTTCACTCTACTTTGTTAGGGATCCGCTAAGAATAATATATTTTGGAGGCTGATACGTGGGATCTCATCTAATTTGCAGGTCCGTGGATACCCTTTGTAGTGTTGTGCTTGCGCGCGCACTCCGCTCCAAGCAACTGGTTATTCATTGAATATAAAAAATGGACACTCAGAGGCGCCAGTAGGCATTAAAAAGGCAGCATGATCGAATTATGCCTAGCAGAGTTTTGTAAGATGCCATTTATTTACGAATTCAATTTCATTACATAAATTTTATGAAAATTTTGTTTTTCAACTGACATAATTACGTATTTATATTTCACTTTCTTCGAAAGTTATCATGTAATTAAGTGAACTGAGTCTCCCATATTTTCTGTTTAAGCATAACATGTGTTAATTATAATTGTACTAGCATGTAACAAATCCTATTTTTTAAAGATAGCTGATATCTTGTTATATATACAATTTTTAAAAGTTTAACATTTAACTTTTCACAATATCTTGTTTTATAAATAAAGAAATATTTCTTTTTAATAAAACTTAATGGAAAAAGACGACTAAAACTCTTGGCATGTAATAAATTTTTCAATATTGCGGAGTGAAAAAAAAATTGTAGAGTACCTCTACATCGGCTACTCTATGCTCATTTCGGTCCGCGGCCTCCGTCCATGCGGTACACTGTACAAGTTTAGCGGCGGAAAACATAAACGCATGGCGTCTTGACCAAGCGGTCGTGTGCCGTACTTTTTTTTTTTCTTTCTTTGTTTACGTTCGTTTAGTTCTCCGTGACAATACGTCCATATCGAAAAGTCTTCTGTATGATACTTGGTGCTCTTAATGCCTTCTAAGTGTCGCGTTTCTCGGTAGTCTACTCAATTTTGCAGTATGAATAGTTGCGCCGTCGGTGAAAGTTTGGACGCGACGATGAACGGTGTTATGACGGATGCGGATCGGACCGCTGAGATGGCGGGAAACGAACGGTGAGTACCATAAACATGTCAAAAGTTTTCATGAAAGTTCCGTCGCTAAAAAGCTGAATTATCTTTGATTTTACCAAATTGTCAGTATTTAAAACATAACAATAACTACGAATGTAGAGAACGGTGCAAGAATTTTGAATTAATAGCTAATTTTTTTTTGTTTTAAATTTGCGATTTATGACAATGTAAAAAGTTTTTTTGTTGTAAACTCCAGTAATCCTGTTACGGATTACTTACGCAAATTTATTAAATTTATACTGATGTTTAATTTTTTTTTTTGGATTTTATGGCCCGGTATCGAGAACCTTTAGGCAGAACTGATATTTAATGTAAAATAATAATACGACGTGTGTAATTACAGTATCTAAATGACGTACCAAAAACTTTGACATGTGTTTTGTCTCTGCAATAAAAACGTCATGAGCAGAAGTGAAAACACTACACGTTGCATTTAAAACCTTATTCGTACATTATAAAACTGCTTATTCCATTCTGTTTGTGATATTTAGAGTCGTGAGAATTTAGACTTAAAAATAAAACTCAAAAAACACAATGGAAGATAAATATTTTACTCCTCGTATTCTGTTTTGATAACACCGATACGTTCGAAGAATAAATATTCAAACCGGATTCTACTTTAAATTATACAAGGAGGTAATGTTTTTTATACAATCGATGTCTTTATAACTTGTTTTGCTTAGCAAAAAAAATGTTATGAAAATAAATGAAAATAACTCACTCCTAAGTTTAGTTGTTATATTATTTATATATAGATAAAGAACAGTCTTACGTTAAATAACTGCACACCATTTCTCAGGTTTCAGTTTGTTATATAAAATTTGTTAATTTTATTATAATTATATATTAACAAATGGAATTTTGGTAATCGCATCACAAAATACGGTTTTTAGTAACGAAATTGTGTTTAAATAGACATATTTGTTTATAAAAACAACAAGCTATGTAAGTGAGTTTCAAACGAATATAATAGCAACAGTATTGAAAAGAAATTAGTTATAATTATTTATTTTTTGTTTTAATTTAATATTCCAACCCACTTATGTATGTTATACGTATATGCTTTATACGTTTATTAGCTTTTGCCTATATTTTTATAACTTCACCTCCCTACTGTAAACTTGCTGATACAGGAATGAAGACCGACCCTTTTCACGCCTTAGACATTTATTTTAAAACTTGAAGCTGAAAGAAAAACCTCTACTGTTATTTGTTTGTTTTTATTTCAAATTTTAAATCTACTTATAATGTATGTGATTCTTTCCATATTTTTTATTCCCTTAAACTTTGTTGACATAAGAATTATGAACGTCTCTGTACGAGGCTTGAATAAAGAGTTTGAAATAGAAACAAATATAAATACATCACACAAATGGAGATTTAAGTTAATTGACGCTGTATGTACTAAAATATAACTTCACTTACCATTAGATTATCTCCGAGAACAGAAATTTTTTAGCAATTAGAGGGAAATCAATATTCAATTATATTGTTTCAATAATTATTCATGTAATTAAAGTTTAATTAACACTCGTCAGAACGAAGACCTTTGCTTGCATTGTTAATGTTATTCTATAGATATAAAAAAGTAAAGTAAAGTATCAGCCTAACATGTCCCACTGCTGGGCAAAGATATCTCCTCTGTACAGAGGGTATACTTATATATTTTACATTATTTTATCGAACCCCATTGCTTAATGAAAATTGTAAAAATTGTAGAAAGCAAAAAGGTAAAGACAATAAAAGATTACAGAACGTGGTGCTATAATATATTAGATATCAAAATTTCGTATCCCTTAAATTTTTATAATCCCTTATGGTTAATAAGTTTAAATGATATTTTATATTGAATTATTTATAATTGTCATTTGGTACAACATCTTAAATAGAGAATTACAATAGACGATCAAAATTACAAAGGACGGGTGCTAGTTAAGCAACATTTTGGTAGGTGCATTAAATCTACACCGGTGGGTTCCATAGGAGATCCCGGAGTCCTTCAAAACGTACAGAAGGGAGCCACCCACCAAAGGGGTTTTAGTGGGTAAGAACCCTACAAAACCCTGTCATGTAAGGTGACAGGGTATCTTTCGAATATTTCCTCCACGATACCAAAAAAAAGTTGCATTAACTCTAATTATTATAATTGGATTAAAGTAAAAATTCGATTAAAGTACGATTAAATAAACTTTACACACTGTAGTGTGCGCCGACTCCCTTCTAGATGGAGTCACGAGCTGTGCATATGTGTGGGTCAATTGATGCAGATGGCTCCGGATGGTAATTGTGGCTTATGTTCAGCTGTGAACTAAAGCAGGGTGGGGTGATGATCATGGAATAGACATACTCGTATATTAAGATTTACCTGGAGGCTAGTTTTTTTTTTGGTAAATCGTATATTTTGGAAATCACTTTTAGATACAAATTACTGAGTAATGAATTATGCATAATATTTTTCGATCTTACCGACGTAATAATAAGAAAAAATGAACTGGTGTTTTTCACAAAAGAAAGAACTTTAAAAAAAAACAGGAAACAAGACAAAAAATGAAAAAAATCTACGCACATACTAAATGTCATGAAAATAGCTGGAGCCGTTTCCGAGATTCCGATTACATATATTTGTATGTATATATATACAAGAATTGCTCGTTTAAAGGATAAGAAGATTACAAAAGGCGGATACCTACGGAGGTTCTTTCGCCTGTTTCTTCTCTGTCAGAGCAACCTTACTACGAAACGGTGGTGGATATAAAAAGAAAATGACTATCGATATATGAAATATTTGTTTCTTATATCGATGAATAAATTATTTTGATTTTATACGCTACGATTTTACGGTGGTAGGGCCACACGGCAGCCTCGGCTGTGGCTGTTGGGCAGGCCCGTGCGGGTAAGTACCACGACCTCACAGAAGACCAGCGTAAAGTGGAAGTATGACAAATACTGTCGCGTTTCATCTGGTGAGTGAGGTGGCCGGAGCCCAATTTTCAATGGCAGATGTCCATGGGCGGCAGTATTCACTTAACATCAGATGAACTGTCTGCTCGTTTGACAACTTTTCGCATAAAAAAAAATACGATGAAACAGAAATATATAAATTATAGTTGCTCATGAAAATAATAATTTTTCATGAGCAACTATAATGCAAAATATACAATATTCATATTAAAATACACCATTAACATATAAAATACGCAGATTTAAAAATTAATAAGAAATAAAAAAAGGTTCAACTTGACGTAACAGATAGTAAGAGATCATGATGTGATCAACCCATTTGAACAAATTACTGTTGAGACAATTTAAGGAATTATTTCCCATGGGCCTAAGCCAGTTTTATTTTTTTTTTATTCAATAACACTTAAGATAGTTAGTTTTTTCATCCGGATTGATCAACGATGCAATTCCGAGGTCATACTTGCAACTTAACAACATGAGATGTTACAATATTTTCATTTTTACGCAAACGCTACATATTGTTAAACTATTGCTATTGACATTAGATTATATCGGCCTTATTTTAAACTAGCGACCCGCCCCGGCTTCACACGGAAGCACTAATTATCCTAAAACCGGCCAATTGTGAGTCTTTCTTAAATATTTTTTATTCTGCTGTTTAGCATTTCTTGTCATAGCAGCAACAAAAATACATCATCAGCAAAAATTTCAACTGTCTATCATAGTTTATGAGATACATACGGACAGACAGACAGAGAAGTCCTAGTAATAGGCTCCCGTTTTATCCTTTGGGTACGGAATCCATAAAAAACTGTTGATCCAACGGCTACCAAACTTTACAAGATCACATTGAGCTTATCTTAAGATTACCTGAGAATTTCATCATAATCGGTACAGCAGCTTTTGAGTCTATAGAGAATACACACAAACATACACACATCCAATTTGTACTTACATCGAAATTATAAACATATTTAAATGATCGACGCCTCAAATAGGCACTTTGCAGCATTATTCTAGTGACCACAAAACTTGAAAATTGATAATCTTTTTTAAACGTCTTTTTATGACTCTCATATTATTCATAAGTTTCCGTGTGGAATGTCATCATCATCCTCCTGCCCTTATCCCACCTAGGTGGGCTCGGCACAAGATGTGGATCATGTTGTAAGTGGTTTTCCATCCATTCCAAGCCATCATCTTTTTTACGGCCGGCCGCCTGCCTGACGTCAACCCTCCTTGGGAAAAAAAATCATCTCTTTTCCCTCCCTCCCTCCTTGGGAAAAAAACACCCCGATCGGGAACAATTATTTGTGGGTCACACAAAAACACGTATCTTATATGGGAATCGAACCCACGAGCCCCGACGCCGAAGCCAATAACTAAGCAACGGCGCCATCGAGTCAATCGATCGAAAATTTCATTATGCAGTGTATATTTCATTATACTTTACTATACTTCATGTCTATACATAGGTACTTAAACAATCTGTTACGCAGAGACTACAAAACTCCTACTTTAAACGATGCCCCTCTTTTGACTCTTCCTATTCCAATAAACAGAAGTAATACTTTGGTGGCGTTACGATGTAGAAAGAATGAACTAAGAGAGACCGGCCTATTATTTATTTATTTATTTCGGCAGTTTGTTCCAGTTTAGTCTAATTATAAATAATTATTGATTAAAATACATATTCAAATTGAAAAATAAAATTACGGTGCTGAAATCTAGGATTCAAATCCGAACGCCAAGTTTATGTAACTCCTGACCTATCAAAACCGTCTTTATCAAGAATCAAATGCCTATTACGATAATAATTAATTCAGTATAATTATTAAACAGTATAAACGCGAATTCAAATCCTTGTGGATTGTGACAAAAAAAATATTGAATTGCAGTTGTAATTATTGAGTTGATATGGTGTTTGGCGCCGAGGTAAACATTATGAGGTAACCTGCATGTCTAACAAATAGATAACCATAAAGATATATCGACGATACAGAAAGTACGACACGGGGTCG